TCTGTCTCGCTCGCTCTCTATCTATCTATCTATCTAGCTATCTATCTATCTATCTATCTATCTATCTATCTATCTATCGATTTGTCTATTCTTTCTCTCTCCCTCCCTTCATTCCCTCACACTCGCTCCTGTGTGTTCTACTTTACGGACTACCACCACGGATTAGAAATTTTAACAAATTAGTGAAGAGTACATGAGAAAAACACCATTATATAGTCAGGTTTAAAATGTTTGCCATCGTCTTTTTTGGTCTCTGGTTTTGTTTCATTTTGATCACCAATACTGTTTTGACCCGAAACAGGTGTAGATATATCTATTTGCATACTAATTGAGGTCTAAATCCATCGTGTGGGTGGTTGGCTGGTGCAGTGCTGTCGTCCTTATCTACCCTCCTCTAATTTGTAAATTACTGTCTGGACACACCTCAAATCTTCTGCACTTGTATGATGGCCACTATTTTTTGCAAGTGCCGTAAAACTCCTACTTAAATCAAAAGACCTGTACGTCCTTCCTGGAAGTAACAGCTGTAGTTGATACGAACAGGCTAACATTATCCGTACACCCTGGGGTCATTTTGTACCACCGGGGTTGTATTCTTCACATTTTAGAATACTTCTAGTACGAAGATCTCTTTGAAACTTTCAGTATTTCAAAAACAAAAAAACAAAAATCATTTTGGCATACTGCTATGCAAAGCGTACGATTTCCTCTTTGGAAAGTGGTGGCCCAGAGTTCCCTACGTCGTATGCATACGATAGTAAAACGCGACGTAAGGATAGGGTTTAAGAAAGACAGTGGTCCTCAATTTTGTTCCTATGACTAATGCCCTAGAGGTCTGTGCGCCACTGATAGATCCTACTTCTTTACTTTCCCCTCTGTTGTTTCTGTCTGTCTGGTGCCCCTGATAGATCCTGCTTCTTTACTTTCCCCTCTGTTGATTCTGTCTGTCTGTCTTACATTTTTCCGGCACTTAGTGTCCCATTATCGTGTCAATGTGCTTCTCTTTACTCAAACAAAGGAACATATAAACAAACAAGCAACTCTTGAGATTTCCAAATGTGGTTTCTATCTTCTTCTTCTTCTTCTTCTTCTTCTTCTTCTTCTTCTTCTTCTTCTTCTTCTTCTTCTTCTTCTTCTTCTTCTTCTTCTTCTTCTTCTTCTTC